GGATGCGGATCCAGAACAGGGGGCGAACACTTTTGTGAATTCATAAAAAAGTAATTGAGATCACCAGGCATTTTTATGGGACTGATATCTTTGAGGTCATGTTATTTGGTGCAGATCCATTGAACTCCAGGGAACTGTTAGGCATGTGGTCAATCTGAACTGCTCTGTATTTGTTTTCTTTCACAATATTATTACTCATGTATGGCTGAACAACATTTTAGGCTATAGTGCAACCTATGTAAAATTGTAAATTATTTTTTGTCAAGAAATCTTGTCACATATTGTATCCTGGATGGCCAGCATAACTGTAGAGTCATATACTTCTTAATACTCATGGTATTAAGAAGGTTGGCTGGTAACCGTGGAGGGGCTGGTTCAAACTGCCATCAGTTATTCACAGAAACAGGAAGGAATCAATTCTAAAGCCTATGAGCTACATTTATAAAAGTTCAAATTGAAATAACTAAATCCATCAGTACAACAGGGTTCAGTTTATACAAATAGCTTAAGAAAAAAGGGAAAACTCCAAGACACTCTCCTTTCAAACAATAAAATAATCCGACATTTTTCTTCATAAAGGTTTAGTTCTCCTAACCAAAAATTTTATACATATGCATGTATATGTATTTCCTTCCTCGCCATCATTGTATTTTATTTTGTTGAATCCACAGCCGTCACACTTCCTTTGTTCTTTAACTAACTTGACACATCTCATGAGGGCTCTCCCTCCTCCTCCTCCTGCTCCACCATTCCTTCTCCCCACCTCTCCTCTCCTCAGCATCAGCATCAGTAGTTTATGGAGGGAAGCCTGCAGCAGATTGTGCTGCTATGCAGAATTTACTATAGCCTCCGTGTTGTTTCCCGGGACAAGGTTTCTAATGGCTCAGACAGACATCCTCAATCAACTTAACTGTCTCTGTCATGTTAATTAATGTCACTGAGGAAATTCAGAGGTGCATCACAAAATGAAATTCTGCATCTTTGTATACAATTCCATTCTGACATAATTTCTCATTTAGTGAAAGTCCATCGTTTGCAGTGTCTTTCTCTACCTGCCTCAAACCGGGCTACGCACTAAAGGCGGTTGTAATGGGTGGTTGTAATGGGTTGAATGCTAAGCTTGAATGTTTAATCGTGATATTTTTTTCTTTACTCTCATCCACCCCTATTGATTTCCCTCATCGTTAGACTGGTGCATTAGCGTCATCCTCATTTCTCAGAGTGGCTGCTGCACTGCACTGTGACCTTTGGTGGTGATGAGGGGGACAGTGGTGCAGACGGTGATTCCTTGAATGAATCTGAGCTCAGTGTGTCGTAACACTATCAATCTAAGATTTTTTGCATTCAAATGAGTTTTCCGAGTGCATTTCTGTGGTGTTCAAGAAACTCAGAGGAGGATGTATGAGTCAGAACTCGTCCTTTCCATTAGGCCTGTTTCCTTTCTTTTCTCGCACCACTTTGTAATAAAGACTCTGCGGTACATGCTTGCACAAAGGAAGCGGGAGGGAGATGAACGGCACGTACAAGCCTCATCATTTATTTTTACAAGCCCCCAGACTTCTCATGAAGATGTGGATGCAGCTCAGGACCATTTCTCCTGCAGGGTTCAGGCTGAACCTGAGCATGTGGTCACAGCTCCACCTTGTGGGAGGACAATGTGCTTACAGGACTTTGAGACGTGATTTGATTTTCTATGAGTACGCTAAAAAGAACATAGCCAGCATTTCAGGTCTTTGACAGAGGCCATATTTAAAATCTTTTTTTGTTTAATCCAGTCAACAAATAGTTCACAACTGTCTTCACCTGCATTAAACAAAAGAGATAGATGGTGTTACGCGATTACCTTTAGATAGTAGGTTGATTTTTCTTTACTCTTGGACAGAGCCAAGCTAGCTGTTGTAAGATATGATAAGATAAGCTAAATTAAACAAAGATAAACTAAGTTAAATGAAGTGAAGCTATGCTTGGCTACGCGAAAATAAGCTAAGCTAAGCTGCTGGCTCTTGCTACATACATGAGAGAGTTATGGATTTCCCGTCTAACTCTTGACAGTAAAGCTAAGAAACAAATTGTTACTTACTATTCTAAATCCAGTTTGTAAGATTTATTGTATAATGTAATAATTCTTTTTCACGCAAATCGTGGCGGTGCATTGATAATAGAGTGTTGAAAATAACATCAAACATGGAGATTTTTTAATTTAACTTTATCACATCACATCACTGATTGTTCAGCCTTATAGGCGCAGGCTGTCCTGGTCAGAACATGCCCTTGTACTTGTCCCTGTCCTCCTGGTTCTTCTCCTCCATGCGCATATTGAGCACAGCCAGGTCCTTCTTCACAGCCTTCTTCATGCCAGGGTCCAGGTCCAGCACCCTGCTGAAGTCCTGCCGGGCCTCTGCCTCGTTCCACACCTCCATGTGAGCTTTCCCTCGTAGGTAGTAGGCCTTCATTACGCCTGGAGGACAAATACCAACACATACACATGTGACAGCAGTGGTTCATATGAGGGACATCTGCAGAGTGTGTGCTAGATGAAGAAGTAAGTGCAACAAATTACTAATCTAAACAACTTTTTATAATGAGCATGTACAAAATGAGCATGTAGACGTATAGGCTGTGCATGTTAGTGTTGAAATAGAGGCTGCAGTTCTTTTATGAGGCATACACATGAGGCATACAGTAAATTTATAGCCACAATAAAACGCACATATGCACAGCCACTGTTAAAAATACATAGCCAGCTTGTTAAAGGCTGGATAAACTGAGAGGCACACCACATCTCTCACACTCATAAATAAACCAGCAGGAATGTGATTATACTTTAAAAACTCCACTGTTACTCCATCACTGGTCTGTCCTCTAGTGCCAAACCTGGGTGCTGATTGATGATGTCACTGGTGTGCTCGATGACCTCGTAGTACTCCTCCATACGCAGCAAACATTGGCAGTAGTTCAGGGTTAAGGTGTTGGACATTTTCTCCAGTTTCATCCAGGGGACCTCCCATGATTTTTCCTGAAGGGAGAACATGGTGCATATCAATGTCAATTCATACGGAAAGCTCCATGTATCCGTTCATCCATCCATCTGTCCATTCATCTATCTGTCCATGTATCCATTCATCAATCCATCTGTCCATTCATTTATCTTTCCATGTATCCTTTCATCCATCCATCTGTCCATTCATCTATCTGTCCATATATCCATCCATCTGTCCATCCATCCATCCATCCATCTTTCCATCCATCCATCCATCCATCCATCCATCCATCCATCTGTCCATATATCCATTCATCCATCCATCTGTCCATCCATCCATTCATCTATCCATCCATCTGTCCATCCATCAAATTTAATTTAGAATTTAACTGAATCCATCCATTCAAATTTAAACTAAATTGAATACATCCATCCATAAAATGATGCTAAAATTGTTTTAGAGGAGCAAATCATTTTCTATTTAACAGAACCCTAATGATGTAATGACCTTAGTCTGAACATTTTTGATGCAGATGATAGCTTCCTTGTATTTTTGGGTGGCATCTTGGTAGCATCCTTGTTTGTAGAGCTTGTTCCCTTGGCCATGCAGCACAGGAACGATCTTCAGCCTCTCCTCATCGCTCAGAGCCCAAGACTCCCTGTTGTACTCACTGGGCTGCTGCACCTGCAAAATGCACCAGAGTTTGATTCCACAAGTTACATTTTACGTCCTTGTTCAAACCTGCATGGTTATCTCACGTCTTTTCTCACCATGAGCAGCTCGAGGACAAAGTAGAGGGGTTTTGGTTCCTTCATAAGCTCATCCAGGTCGTCGTAGCCAAGGCTGTGGTAGGCGAACATGTTAGCCATGCCACACGTGTGGACGTGCCAGTCGACGGGGTCTTTGCCTTCAGCAATGCGTCGCATACTCTTGGAGACAAGTGGGTAAACGCCAGTGTACTGGAGAAGATGGTAAACACAAGTCAACTATGAATGAAATCAGTAAATAATGGTCTGACTATTAATAAATGGTCTTCAGTTTAGACTCAAGGTGACTGAGGTTTGACATTAGAATTTTGTAATGTAAGTAGAATTTGCTTTTTCCTCCGACTTTGCAGTGTTTCCTGAAGGAATCAGTGTGACATTCAAAGACCAACCCTGCCATCATTTCAACTGAACAAGGTATTTACCGTCTTACTTTAAATGCAGCTTACTGATGTAAAAACTCCACTACGAGGATGATTGACAAACTTTTTCTCAGATTTACATGTTTAGTGATTGGAATCACTTTTTTGAGTCTATATTGAGTTTTATTATTTATTTTTTATTTTTATTGTATAATTACCTTTATTGTTGTATTGATATGTTAATGAATATATTTGTCTGTCTGTCTGATAGTTAGCAGGATTACACAAAAAATACTGGACCGATTGTCATGAAACTTGGTGGAAGGATGTGTTATGGGTTAGGGGAGAACTCAAGGAGAATCTAGAAATTTCTTTTCACTTTCTTTAATATTATGGGATGGATCAGTTTTCCATGTTTTCATTGATTTCTCAGATAATAATAATAACAATTCCTGGATCTAAATGAAAAACATCAGATTTGTCAAGAGGACTGATGTAAGTGTGTGGAATTTGATGCAAATCCAAACCTAGATCTACTGAATTTCAGTGAATTGGTTTCATAAGGGGACTGTCTAGTTTTATTTTATATTGCTCTTTAACATTAACAAACGCAGATTCTATTTTTGCATATATATAAATTACCTTTGTTCCATTGTTATAATGTCAAGCATAACAGAAAATAAGAAAGCATTTCATGGTTACATTTTTTTTTAATTCTAAAGCTTTTAAATCCTGGTCAGTGGACATGTGAAAATAAGTTATGCATAGAGCACAATTCCTTTACTTACACATTCACGAGAAATGGGATTAATTTGACATAACACTGATGAAATTTAAATGTCATTAGGAGCTGTCGCACATCATCTCCGGTCTGTTTCCTCCATTCAACATGCAAAGTTTGCCCTCCACTGGATGGCAGTGACACTACAGAGGGTTCACAGTAGAGTGAGTGTGGAGCAGCCATGTTGCTCAGAGGAGTGATGAAATGCTCTAAGCCTCAATCACATCTAATCAGAGTGGAAGGGAGTTGGCAGAGAGCTGATTCAGCAGGAATCAGAGCCGATTAGAGGAAAGTGAGGCGGCTGCAGATTAATAACAATATGCCTCAATCCATCTGTCTCTGACACACACACACACACACACACACACACACACACACACGCACACACACACACAGGAGGTATGTTTGCTAATAATAATTGCGTTGGTGCGTACAAATTTATGTGCCAAATATCTGCGTGAGCTTTCATAACAGGAAGAGGTTCCACACAAACAAACAAAACATTACTCTTAAATATGCAGGGAATTCAAACTGAAACCTGGTTTGGATTGTTTGTTAATATTCACATATATTATTGTTATTATTATTATTATGTACGTGTTTCTGCTTGGTGTAGCCCGCTAGCTTTGAGAAAGTTATGATTATCTTTCATACGTCAGCTCTGTGCAAGGGAGTCAAAGTTCACGCTGTGGATTTGTCTCGCCACCGGAAGCAAATATTGGATTCACCTCCTCACTCTCACAGATTGGAAGTGAATGGAGGGTGAAGGCTCTCTGTTATAACCTGCCTCTATCTTGATCTTCCATTTTTATGACCATATGAGTTATTTAAGGATGGTGCAAAAATATTCTTGTGCTTTATGTTTCAGCTGTAAATCAGAGAAATCAGAGACCCTGATCTTCACATCTGCAGAATGATGTTTAAGGTGCACAGTCACACGTCTCAGACTGTAATAGATAAAATATGATCCACTGTGCTTTAGAAAACAAACAATCAAAAAACAAGGTCACACTTAAAAACACTCACAGTGATGTCACACCAGAACTCTGCCACCTCACTGATCCTCATGGAGGCCAACAGAGTCTCCCATACGTCCAGTTTGAACATGTTGCCGATCACGATCTCCATGGGCGTCCCCACCACTTTGCTGTCATCTATTACTGTGCGTTCATCATCACACAGCTGGGTGCGGAAATGAAACGTCACCTGGAGGGAAAAAACTAATTGAATGTATGAAGTTTGATTTTTAAAACAACACAATGTGGGAATAATTGTGCTTCACTTCCTTCGGTTATAAAATTTACTTGGATTTCCACAATCATAAAAAAGAAAAGATACATAAACTGTAACACAGGGTCAATTAGCACAGATATTAATATCAACTGTGGACTGTACATAAAGATGGTCAACACATTTCCACTTTCTCCCACTATCTGGAATCCAAGCTTAAATATCCCAGGTATGACACTGACATCTTGTGCATTTGGAGCCAGAGACTGCGCAGTAGAGATCAGGTGATTGACCCGCAGTAGCGATACACATGCTAAACCAATCGGGAGTCAGACTCAGCTGTTTCACCCCATTTTTACAGATCAAATCATAAAATCAAACCTAGCAGAAAATGAACATTTGAACAAACAGTGTGATGAGAACTACCTTAAATGACTTTTTATTTTGGTCAATGCTCCATTCACTAACACGGAGCAGGCAAGATTTTTGACCTATACTGAACACGAAAATGATTTAATTAAATTGAAGAATGGTTTTATACAGTGTGTCAAAATAGTTAATCTTACAAAGATGTGGAAGCGATTCCGTTCTTTCCACACATTATATAACAGCATTCTTTATGTTCGTCTAACTGATTCAAAGCGTGTTGGTTAAAGCTCTGAAAATACTGTGCTCATTAAAGGGCTTCCTGTGATATATGTCCTCTATCAACCTCTGCTGGCTGCCGGTGGGAATTGTAAAAACATAAACATGCCTCCCCTCCCTCATCCTGCTGAACTGCTCGAAACTGGCACAAGTCAAGATAATTAAAAATGCATAAATCACAGGCAATGAAACCTTCCATACTGAGCAAGAGCCCCCTCGAACTGGTGCAAATATATGAAGGACAGCAACAGGCCAATAACAATCTGTCTTGTTATTGAGCTTGGTCATATGAAGAATCATCCTCAGGGAGACACTGCACTCAGAGCTTGTTCTTAATGTGCAAACAGCTGATCTGATCCTTTGTTAGAAAAGTCCTGTTTAAATCCCAGGCTGCACAATAGTCACAGTGTTCTGTAACGTCAAGCCTCTGTCTGGACATCTTCTTGTTTTTCGATGCCTTGCAATTATTTCACCATGCTCCAGATAAGACGGTTCTGCTATGTGCATGATAGATTTCATTAGTAGCTCTAAATTTAAAGCATAGAAACGAGCTTTGTGAGTTATTTCTGAATTCATCCTGTTTCCTTTGTCCAGAACAAGATCACACACAGCTGCTTTTTATCCGAAATCGGATTTAATTCGATTTGATACTTATCGTGAAATATTTATCAGAATCCGAATCTGATAAATATTTCACGATAAATATTTATGGGCCCACACAACCTAGTCTATACTGGATGACTGCAAATGGTGGGTAGCCATAGATATATGTGCAGATAAAGTGTTAAAGGCCGACAGTACCTTTGCCCCCGTGATGAATTTAGGAATGTCGCCGGTGCCTCCATGCAGGATTGTTTTCTTGATTCCCTCTGATCCCAGCAGCAGCGTATCCTGCATATCCGACATCTTTATTGGAATGGCTCACCTGATGTTATCATGCACACATACAGTATATCTGGCACGTATCATGCAACATGTGTCTGTATGAGTTGGAGGTGTTGTCTATGGTGGATTAGTTTGGTTTTGGGATAATGAGATTAGAAACTCCTTCTGGCATTAGTCAGTCATCATCAGCACTCTAACAGAATAGAATAGAAAGTCTTTATTGTTATTGTACAAGAGATAGCAGCACAACAAAATTAGACTTGCTACTTATGAAAAACAGCCAATTTATAAAAATAATTAGCTAAAATCTGACAAAAGTCACAAACCAATAAATAAACAACCAATAAATGAGACTAATACATTTGCTGATGCACAGAATTTTTGTAAAACCAATGAATGTCAAATAAATGTCAACTTTATATAATTGGTAGAGTTTAGAGTTCTACAGGGAGTCACAATGACAGAAAAATAAAGTGAAGGAAGATTTTGGATGCTGCTATCGCAGCAACATGTGCCTTATATGAGCAAAGAAGAGCCTGAAGCTGTTGATGTTGAGGAGCAGAACTGCAGTGATGTGTGTGTGTGTGTGTTTGTGTCCACATATGTGACTGAGAGAGAGAGAAGAGATAGAGATAGGCCTGTGAGAGAAGGACATGGTTTCCATTCTGGAGGAAATTTCCTGGATTTACATGGATGTGGTGATCTGAACAATGCAGAAAATACTGAGAAATGGTGGAGTAGACAATTACAGTGTGGACTCCTTGACCTTGTCTATTAAACATCTGTCTCCCATCTGGGTTGTGTGTGTGTGTGTGTGTGTGTGTGTGTGTGTGTGTGTGTGTGACTAATCCAAAGCTCCTGTAGTCTGTGTGCTAACAAAGTCTGCAAGTAGTTTGAGCGGGCAATTATTCTCGAACATTACCCGGTGTTAATGCCTTACTCTGTTATAATTGCACAAATAGAAGAACCCTATAACTGCACCTTGGCACTGCTCACAATTGCATAACTTTACGGCATGTGTTTCCTGTGTGGAGCAACATGAAAGAGGAGGTGTCTCACCATGAATTATCAGACACGGCTGCTGTCTCATCCCTGTTCAAATAAATCCTTGGAAAGTGCTGCAACACTCTATCGGTAAAGTTTTCCTTTTTTTTCTAACACTTATGTGACAAAGAGGATTGGGTAACAGTTTGGTATGCACTTGGCCGCTCTCCAAGGTAGAACGCAGCTTCAGCACCCTCTTGTGGAGGAGAATGGTAGAGCAGCGGGAGCTCTTCATATTGGGCCTTGTCCTGACAGTGTCTAATCTGGATTGTGGAAATCCCCTGTGCAACAGTTAAAGGTTCATTGTGTAAGATTTAGATGGAAGTGATCTATTTGCAGAAATTGAATATAAAATAATCCCAGTGTTGTTTTCACTAGTGTGTTTCACCTAAATTGTACAAATGGGCCCTTTATATTTAAATTTTTTCTATTTACATTGGAAGAAGGTCTCTCTCTTGAGGCCGCCATGTTTTTTTACAGCAGCCCGGACTGGACAAACTAAATACTTTTAAGTTTTTATGACGACTGAAGGCTGAAGGTTCTCTTTCATGTTTGGAAAGGGAGGTCGAGATGAGGTGTGGTCTGCTGCAACATGCAACCTTACCACTAGATGTCACTAAATTCTACCCACTGAACCTTTAAATGTGGTATTGAGCATTTGAGTAAACGTGATCTGGCTGGATTTATGTGACTCACATCTTATAATTTATCTTTAACAGTTGTGGACTTTTGCATTTCAGAAAACATACCAGTAAATCATTCGTCCTCTCTCTGGATTTTGCTGTTTCTGTGGTTTTGAAAACACTGGGACACTGAGAATGCAACATGGGCATATGGTGGGGGTGCTACTCTTGGATGACAGGTTTGTGTTGCCATAGTTACAGCCTTTTACATCATCATCATCATCATATCCCAGAGTTTAAAAGAGAAAAATGTGTCATTAATCTCTATTGCTGTTCTGATTTAGGTATTCACATCTTCATTTTCAGAAGATGCTTGTTGTGACGAGGGGCTTGATTTAAAGGGGTACCAGCGTCCTCACCTCAGAGAGAGAGAGGAGCGATCCATCCGACCTGTTGGATGCTGAGTCAGTGGTGTGTGTCAGAGTGACTTGCATTGCTTGCGTAACGCCGCCTACACCTTTCTCTGCCGCTCTGTCTACGCGTGTCTAGGTACGTTTGTGTTTGTGCATACAGGTATAATCTGGATTCGCCACATGCACACTGTGGCACAGGAAATCGAATGTACCAGTTTGTTGAAGCGCATGCATTTACGTCTTTGAGAACAGGTTCAGCTACCAGCAATCCAAGCCTGCGGGAGGTAAAACCCGGTCTCCAACACGCTCAACCCTGCTGGAAACTCGTCAGTGATGCATTAGTTCCACTTTGAGCAAGTCACACTCTATTTCTGGAAAGTACAGTCATGGATTTTCTGGGGAGGGGTGCAAAAGCCATTCATTCATATACATAACACACATGGGAAGGCTCCTTCCATGACGCACGACACACACGTACGTTGCTTAATGTTTATGAATGTGTAAACCTTTTGTGCTGCTGCTGTGGGAATGAGGAAGAGAGAGAGCAAGTGTGAGAAAGAGAGGGATGGAGGGAGGGAGAAAGAGAGAGAGACAGAAAGAGAGAGAATCTCTTCTTTCTTCTGTCAGATTGACGTGTAGAGCTGAGCTAGCAGATGCAAAAAGGAAGAGAAACTGCCAATAGGAGGACACACACACANTGATGTGAAAAGTGTTTCTGATCAGCCGCGGTTGTTATTGACAGCGGCCGGGGCTCCGCTCGCCCGGGGGACGCCACACTTCAAAAAAGATCCCAAGATACTTCTCTGATTCAGAGACAAACGAGGGAGAAATGTATAGATCCGCTGTGCGCACACACACACACACACACACACACACACACACACACAGTTGCATTTTCATGACATTACATTGATTTTAAACCCTTGATTTCCTGGAGACTTTTTCAAAACTTAACATTAGTAACTACTGAGCTTGCCCTAACCTTATCCTAACCCTAACCCTGAAGCTGAAGCCAAATTTACACCCAAACCTAAACCTAAACCAGCCTAGCCTAGCCTAACCTAACCTGATCTAACCTAACATAAATCTAACTGCAAAACATATATGCTTTTCGTCCTTATTGTAAAGACAATTCCCCCAAAAAGTGACTGTGATTTAGGTCCCCACAACATGAGTAATACCTAGAAAACACACACACACACACACACACAAACAGATCAAGGCCGAGGCACCACGTTTCCACCCCTTCTGTGTTTGCGTAAGTGTGTGTTATAGGTTGAGGAGGATTGACAGGGTGTAGGGTTGTGCAGTGAATCACAGCCTCCCTAAAACTCACACACACACACATTCATATTACTCCACAGACCAATGCACAGATATTTGTTACACACTCTCAGTCCTGCAGATCACTCACATCTGAGGAACACAGCCATGAGCAAACTATCCAGATGCTGTACCCTCAGCTGGAAATATGGGTCACACACAAATACTTATACACACACGCACACAAGTAACGAGTATTGCAGAATTCATAACATGTGTTCAGGCTTTGGAAGGAAATCATAGAAATGTAGAACCTAATGGAGCTTTCCAACGATCCTGACAATAACAATGACATGTCCAGAACTTTTTTTTGTTGATGAATTAAAGCTCCCCTACTTTATCTCTGTACATTTAAGTCAAGGAGGAACATGGATGAAATACTTACAAATAGATGTAATTTTAGGAACAATCTGTATCGAGAGAGGTCACAGAGCTTTATTTCACATCTACAATAATTTACAATAAATTACAAATTAATTTGTAAAAGGAATAACTTGACAAACACTATCTAAGATATGCTGTGATGCCTAAAGCTAAACTCACTGACACAACCTGGAAAACGTGCCTATCGGCTATTTATGTGAGGAGATTGATTCAGTTCGGTCCATGTGTCCTGTCATTAGTGAGTTTCAGCTGCTCCCATCAGGCAACAGATGCCAGATAGAGTCTTAAAGTGTGGAACAAATTAGGGTTTTCATGTGTAGATTCCAGGTTTGGACGACTAAATGTACTAAGTAGTTTGAGTTTTTGAGTATCCAGTATAAACACTTTTCAGGCTCAAGAGCACAGGAACACTAACACATAATACAAGATAACGCAAACCTGAAACCAAACTTTCATGATCCTCTCCCATCAAACTGATAACTCATTCAATCAAGAGCAGTTTTAACTGACTTAACATGTATTGATGCTACATTTGTTTATTGATCGTTTACATTTGGTTGGTTGGTTTGTTTGTAGGCAACAGGTCAAAGGATTACCACAGAACATGTCAGAAGGATGCAGTACTGCTCATGGAAGAACCCATGAAATTATAGTGTGGATCCACATCAGGGGGCAGATCCAGGAATTTTATTTCCCTTTCTTCAACATTTTCACCAATTTCCCAAGGAATAATTCAGAGATCTTGATGAAAATGAAATATCAGACACATTTAGAGGGCTGATATGTGTGAACTTTGGAGCACCTTGATTGCTGAGTTCTCCTGAGGGCCATTCTAGTCATTTTTGTTTTATTTCAAGTTCATCCTACATTAAATAAATACATTACAAAACAGTTTACAAACAACTGCTTTGCTAAACATTTAGAAAAATGATGTCAGTTCCATCAAATAATGTACCTTCACTTGCATCGCTGTGTGATGCATAAAATGTATTTGATCCAGAAAAGATGCTTTTGATGTGATGTAACTTCTGCGAGACAGTGCATTAAAATTCCAGGGAGTGCCAAATCATAATCTGTCATAATCATCTGAATAAGTTTGTGCTCTTACTAATTAGTGAAGTAGAAGTACACGTCCGGGCATCATGACCACTCGCACACAACTGACAGTAAAACTGATGAAGGTGACGATGCTGAGCTGGTTATTCATCTCTTCTCGTTTTCAGGAAGATGAGAA